CTCACTCCCACAAGGTGAGTATTTGTACATCTGTTAACAGTACTAACTTCTGGTTTATTTTTCATAGTGGTTCTTCACAGGCGGCGCGCTATCAATCCTTATTGATAGCGCGCCTTTCAGGTTAGTCTTTTGCCAACTCTTTGTATACTGACTGTCTCTTACTTACAGTGATTTGGGCATGTCATAGACACGCCCAAGGTCAGTGTCTCCTTATTTCTTCAAGTAGTTGACTTTTCTTCAGGTTTTTATGTACTTTTCTGGCCATCCATGTACCCAGGGACTGGACACCTTGAATTGTGGGTACTGGGGGAGTTTGTCTTGGCCATCCATGTCCCCAGGGACTGGACACCTTGATGTGGGTTCTGGGGGAGTTTTTCTTGGCTATCCATGTCCCCAGGGACTGGACACCTTGAATTGTGGGTACTGGGGCTTGGGCTTTCACATCTACTCTGTATTGTACTGACTTATCTCTAGCTTTCTATGACATTTTCTGTGGTGCGCCTGTTTTTTGTTCTGTTTTCAAGGTTTTTCCGCAGTGCTGGCCTGTTTTTCCAGTTTTCAAGTGTGTTCTGTACTAACAGTTTATTTTTCTAGTGTTCTATAACACATTTTCTGTTGCACTGTGTCTGCCTTTTGTTTAGGTAGGCATCAGTTTAACATTGAAGATCATACTGACTTGCACTATAGTTTTGGTGGTCTACACCTTCTGTGCCTACCACCTTTCCTTAACAAGTTTAATCCTGTAAGCGTCATTTTAATATTCAATATCATACTAACTAATGCTATAGTTGATTGATCATTAATCTACATTTTTACCTTCCTTTATGTACTGTAGGGTGCAAGGCTAGGATGGAGAGGGCTCCTCCATCCCTGTCTTGCATCATTTACTTTAGTTTTTTTACCTTAGCTTTTTGGTTTGGACTGTATTTAATGTAGAGCTCAGCGCAAATGTATTACCCTTTATGGGCATTTTCTGGTCATGTGATGCTTAAATCTTTGCCCAACTTTTGAGTCACATGATCGTGAGAGTGATGGAAAAGGCAACAGATTTCAGTGATAGATCATTGAACGATATACTAGATAGTCCCACAAGTTCACGCATTGGTTCTAGCACACGAAATTCTGCCCGGAATCCTTATGTATGTTTCATGTAAGTTTCCCCCCACACATATGACTATGTATTTTGTTTGAATAAAATGAAGTGGTTGTCGTGCCATGGTCGAGTTATTAGTGTTTGAGGCCAGTTTGAGGTTGGTGAGGAGTGGGTTCCTTCGAGTTCAACATATTTCCTTTCTGCCAGGCGATCCTGAAGATTCTTGGATGAAATTTTGACCATGGATAATGAGAACTCCGGAGGAAGTTTGCGAGTGTATTGTTGACCGGGAGCGTCTTGCATGAATGGCGAGTTTTGATAATCAAGTGCCTGCACACGAACTTTGTCCTGACTTTGTGTGAGAAAGGTCCGAATGACTAATGGTCATCAAAGGCTCGTCCTCTCATGTTGCAATTGGGTCAGGGATAACTGTGATCCCAATGTCTTGCATGAATGGCGAGTTAGACCATAGTGGTAATGTGTTCTCCAGTGATCCCGACTGCCAGTTGGATGCAACCACTAAGTTCCAGAAACTGTTGTCAAAGGAGATTAGACCATAATGGTAATGTGTTCTCCAGTGATCCTGACCGCCTGTTGGATGCAACCACTAAGTTCCGGAAACTGTTGTCAAAGGAGATTAGACCATAATGGTAATGTGTTCTCCAGTGATCCCGACCGCCAGTTGGATGCAACCACTAAGTTCCGGAAACTGTTGTCAAAGGAGAGGAACCCCCCAATTGAGAAAGTCATTGAGTGTGTGGTTGTGCCATAAAAGGAGGCTGACCCAGCAAGAATTCACTCCAAGGCTGGCCGGCCACCCCCCACATACTACAGAGGTGGACAGGCCTGCTGGGCCAGTTGCCCACAGGATGCCGGCCGTGACTTCGATATGAGAAAGGTCCAAATGACAGCAGAGTACTGTAAACTTCAGTAGAATGGCCGAGAGTTTAGGGTGTGAGTTACCAAAGATGTATTAATTACATCATATTTATTTATAGACTCATTACATCACAACTACAATGAGTGTGAAGTGCATGAGAACTTTGGTTCATTTTTTTTACATCCCCCATGGAAGACAACCTGAAGAGCCAGGCATCAGAAGTAAGGGAAGCTCTGAGTAGCAGGATCAGTGATATACTTGGGAATTCATCTGAAATGGGGGTTCTGAAAGATGGGCAAGTGGTAACAAAGCTGTTGCATAAAGCTAGGTATCTATTGGTGGAGTATCAATTTTAGCTGAATTCTAATTGATTAATCTTTTAGAATGAAGAATATCAGTCCACCTCCAGATTTGCTTGGCAACACCGGATGACACTACATTTACTGAGACATCAATTTCAGTATATGAAATTGATCGGGCTGCACTAACTATTGCCCATGCAATGGTCAATCCCAGTGAGTGTCCCAAAATATTTTTAAATGTCATGAATTCTAAAGCAGAAGTATAGTCAATGTTGATTGGGATGTGGATCGATATGCTGACAGGGTCAAGTTGTCACCACCAAATCGGGATGGGTCAGCAACCTCCGAACCGGAAAGGCTCAAGAAGTACTTCCCTGAGGCAGTGCTCGGCAAAATTTCCCACTCCGGCCACCATTGTAGACAGGCATGGCAGAATCTTGATGGTTTACCTCCCCAATATTTTGTCACCTTCTCGTCTAGTATGTTTCTGGATGGGATTTTTTCTCAGGGGCTGATTAATTAATTAGGAGTACGTTAACAATGCTACCTCAGGCTTACAAAATTCTCTTCTTGATACCCTGCCGCCCATTTCGGATCAAAAAAAGAGTTGGCGAGATGATGGCTTTGTGGTGCCAGAGGGAGGGGGTGAATTTGGGGCTGGTAGGATTACTGTGTCGCCTGCATATTTCATGCAAAGACAAGAGGTATTGTATTTTCAGTGCTGAATTTTCCCAGTTCTTGCTTGGTGATTAGCGATTGATAGATCCTCTGGTAACGTCAGAGTCTTATAACTCAAAGGAGGTCCAAAAATGGCTAGCAGCTTTGACAACATCAGAATTTCTATGGAACTCCATTACTGCAGCAGTGGCACCAGAACTTTTTGAATCAGGTTTCTCTGCATTTTCCAAGGTTGTCAAGGAAGTTCGGCGGCAAAAAAATAATTCGGCTCCAGTGGATTCTTGGCCCTCTATCTTTTCAGGGTTGGAAATTATTGCCAACCGAACAACCTTCAGCCACAGAGATCCTGGTGGATCTCCTTCACTTTTTGATCTTCTGGTCAGTTTAGGTCGAAACCATCATGCAACTCTTTCTTTGGCTGATGTCCATGCAGAGCTAGACTATTCGCCTGGTGCAATGGTCTATATTGCTGGTAGGGTACTGGAGCACTCTGTGGGTCCTTGGATTAATGGAGAAAGAATTGTGGTTGCCCATTTCATGAAGGATGCTGTGCATGATAGAGTAAAAGTGCCAAGGCCAAGTTTTCCTATGCAGAGGAACTTTTTAGAGTTGATAGGGAGGAAACCCAAACACACGGGTCGGAGAGCCAATAAATTACAAATATAGTTAGGATAGGAACAGGACTGTTTTGGGGTGTGTGGGCGGTGGTGGTGGTGGTGGACTGCCCCAATAATGCCAATGTTCTTGTTGTTTTGTCCCCTTTGACAGACTCTCAATTTCATGAGCTCGCAAATCACACCAAGGAATAGAAACAGGGTCAGAGTCCAGCCATCTTCATCTGGAACTCGCCCATCAAAAAGAAAAAGAGGCGCTTATAAATATGCATATATCCCTTCAAAAACACGGAGGGGAAAAGATTTGTGGAAAGAAGCTAATGCATCATTTGTCTATGAGGACTCTGATAGTGAGATAGAAGTGGCTTCACCATCAAAACAAAAGAGGCATCACCATATTGAAGATCATACACCGGTGGAATACGACCAAGAGGTTCATGGTGATTTTTGGATGGGAGGCTTGGATGGTATGAAAAGAAAAACAAAAGTGAGTTTATTGAATTTTGAAGTCTCGAGTTTTTAAAAAAAAATCATGTGCAGACCCAAAATGATTTCCTTCGAGATTACTTGCCTTGGTGCACTGAATATCTTTCAGTGTTATTGGAGTTAGAGCAGCTGGTCAACGATGGGAAATGCAAAGATTGTGAAGAAGGAGAGGGGTTGATCCGGTGTTTGTCTTGCTCAGGAACACATGCTTGGTGTCCTTCTTGTGTTGTTAAAACTCATCAACACAACCCCTTCCACAACCTTCAACTCTGGAATGGCAGGTTCTATGAGACTACTACCCTGCAGGCTCAAGGGTATATAATGTATCTTGGCCATGGGGGGGAACCATGCCCCAATATCTCACATCAGCCAGACCCATCTCCCTGGGAAGATCTTGGGGCCATGGAAGATGTGTTTGCACAGGAGGAGGGGGATACAATTAATGATACGCAGTTAGGAGTATCTAACCTGGTCATTGTGTACTCTACTGGTGTTTACTCACACAGTGTATCATGGTGCCAGTGTCCTGGAGCTGAGAAGGCACGGCATCTCCATCTCATGAAAGCAAGGTTATTTCCTGCCAGTATCACTCGCCCTCAATCTGCTTTCACATTCGATAGTCCTGGAATAACTTCCTCATAGACGCTTTGGAGTGCAAGACTTCAGCCATGAGTTTCTATCAAAAGCTCCATTCGGTTCACAAACAATGCATTCCCTGATAAAATACCGGTGAGTAATTTCTTATGATTGTGTGCCAAGCTGATAGGACAAAAAGGACCGTTACCGTGAACTTATGCGAGTGTCACGTATATGGCAGGATTTGGTTAATAGAAAAAGGTTTGGGTTTGGACATGACACTGAACGATCCCCTGGTCTAGGGGATTTAGCCCTTTATTGCCCAGCATGTCCGCAGCCTGGAATCAACTTGCTGACATCTTGGAGATATGACTATGAAGAGTAAGCTGACTTGTAACTATTGCAGTAGTATGTCACTCATTATTGGTCTGTGGTAGGTGGTTAGATATGCAAAGATATGTGGTCAATGGAAATTTCACAGCACAACATATGAAAATGAAAATTCCGGAAGACGATGTTTCTCTAGCAGATGGAAAGGGATACATGGTAACAGAGGGACCTTATCAAGCTCACATCCATGATTCTGTAGAAGAGAGAGAGGCAAGTGATGATTTTGGATGACCGGTTCCTCCTGACTTATAATATTTTTGAAGAAATCCACTTGCAGCAATCATCGGGCAGTGAATGCAGCAAACATCCAAAGAAGCAACCTAAGAGCTACAGAGGTTGGGGCAACAGCATGTGCTAGGCATGGATGCTTTGTTCCTCATGCAGTGGTAGACTTCCAAAAGGGAGAGCGGTCTGTGATTGTTTTGTTATTTCAGACAATGGACTGACCCTGTAGTCAGGCACATGAACATGGACTATTCCATTTGCAATGCAGTGAAATATACGCCCGAACATATTGGCAGTGCGCTCATCATCTATGATGTTGCATGTCAGTGGAGTATTCACTTTGCTGAACGGGTGGACCAGAGCTATCATCTGTCCCTTCCTGAGGGGACTGAAATATTGCCCACAATTGGCAAGTTTCATTTGAGCGCACATAAGCTTCAATGCTTTCCTAGGTTCAGCCTGAATTTTATGACTGGAGCTGCACATATTGATGGGGAAATATTGGAGACACTCTGGGCTCCTTTCAACAAGATTTCCCCCACTGCGAGATCCATGTCTTTGGCTCACAGACAGGAAGTATTGGATGACCATATGCGGGATTCCAATTGGAAGAAGCTGGTCAGCATTGGCAAGTCCCCTTCATTCTGGTTTCTGTGACTTCGCCTGACATAAAATTTACAAAAGTCAAGTCATTACTCAAAAAGTATCGCCAAGCCCTACAGGGTATTAGTGACACTCAGGGTCCATACGAGGAATTAACCAGATCACTTGATTTGGCTGATGTTCAGGAGTGGAAAAAGGCAGCCTGAAAAAGCAGCTCAGGACCGTGGAGAGCTTCTTGACATCTATCAGCTTAAAATGGACAAAGGTAGGTCTTATGTTGTGGACATTGATTTTGCCCTGATGGAAAATAATTTAAAGCACCCACTATGGCTGAAATATGTCTCAGATTGACCGAAAATGAACTATCTGCTAATGGTAGGACTGGGTCTGTTGCATGGTTGATTGACAGGTATAAATATAGAAAATGCTCAGTAAGATATTCTAACTTTGGGATTGGATTGACTTAAATTGTGTTACTAGAGATGCCTTGAGATTGTCTATAAGGCAGCTGCCCCAGGATCCGACTGCTTCTCAGAGAACCGGGATAGAAGAAAAAAGGCAGAAGGTCATGGCACGGATTATTAAGTTCCATGAGGCTGCAGAGGTCATGACTAATGGTATGGAATTGGAGGGAGGTGAAGGAGCACCACTGGACAACCCTGAACTGTGCCTGGAGGAGGCTGGCATATCCAGTATGGATGATCCAGAGGAAGAGGATATTTTTGACCTTGAGGGTAATACTGACTCACCTGCAGAAGTCACCGAGATTTGGATGCCATCATGGGCAGCCTCTGGTCACATCATGGATGATGTTGTCTTGGCATTACGTCAAGAAGAACTTGAGCTTCGAAAGGGTCAAGCAAATGACTGCCTGGAAAAGCTCCATCAAGCCCTGGGTGATAGATCAGTTGTGCTTTGGGAGAAAATACACTCCAACAAATCAGTCCATCACCAGGGCACTAGATCTAAAAGGGAACTTCAAAAGATAACTCTCTCCATCAACAGACAGGCCTGAGGTTACAGCCGGGCAAGGGCTGCAATGCTCCGCCTAGGGGCTGACTCTGATACAGTGGCAGTGTATCAACCCCTAAAGCCTCAGGACCTAGTGGTGAGCAAAGAAGTCACAGAAGAAAACAGGCATGGGCAGGGTTCAGATAAATTGGCTTGGTTTTGGAGGATCAACAATGCAGAGGACAGTCAGAAGAATGTATGGATGAACGAGTGTAAGTTTTATTGTGATCTGCTTTTTATCAAGGTAATCAGCTTATATTCCCCATTTCCAGTTTATCGTGTGAATTGGTTGAAAGCTAAAGCACTGGTATGACCGTTGGTCAGAAGAACTGAAATTGGTACAGCATGAAATGTTTTGGACCATGTCCTGGTTTCGGACACAGGAGGAGAGGTGGAGAGTTTCGGGCAGATGAAAGCATCAAGAATGGGAAGTAGGGCATATGCTGAGAGGCAGGCATCTATGTGGGCAGAATTTTCAGCTCAGGGTCTCAAGAATTTTGAAGGAAAATTACTTATAACAAGTTGATAGTTCACGAGTTGACATGCTAATGTAATATTGATCTTCCTGACTTGTAAAAAAAAGTGTGATGTGAGTATTCAGAATGTAAACATGGTGTAAAGGGGCCGGCCGACATGCTCTGGGCTTCTGGCATAGTAGGCCTGCCCACCTCTGCAGTATGTGGGAGGTGGCCGGCTGGCCTAGGAATGAATTCTGGCTGGGCCTGCCTCCCTTTGCAGCCTGCATAGATGGGTCAGCCGGCATGCCTTGGGCTTCTGGCCTAGTAGGCCTGCCCACCTCTGCAGTGTGTGGGGGGTGGCCGGCTGGCCTGGGAATGAATTCTTGCTGGGCCTGCCTTCCTTTGCAGCCTGCATAGAGGGGCCGGCCGACATGCTTTGGGCATCTGGCCCAGTGGCCTGCCCACCCCTGCAGTATGTGGGGGGTGGCTGGCCGGCCTAGGAGAGAATTCTTGCTTGCAGGGCCAGCCTCCATCTGCAATCTGCATGTCGGGGCCGGCCGACATGCTCTGGGCATCTGGCCCAGTAGGCCTGCCCACCCCTGCAGTATGTGGGGGGTGGCTGGCCGACCTAGAAGTGAATTCTTGCTTGTAGGGCCAGCCTCCTTTTGCAATGTGCACTAAGGATTCACTCAAACTCATCCATCCAGGGTCAGGGATAACTGTGATCCCAAGGTCTTGCATGAATGGCGAGTTTTGATAATCGAGTGCCTGCACAGATTTATGTTAACCATAGACCTAGTGTTGCTGAGGACATGCCCATTGACTGCAATTGGGTCAGGGATAACTGTAATCCCAGCGTCTTGCATGAATGGCGAGTTTACTTCATTAACATATTCCCTTTCTACATATCATCTGCTCCTTCCATTTTACACTCACCCCTTGTCTGTGAATGTATGTCCCTCCATGCAGACCATAACGTGTTCTCCAGTGATCCTGCCACCAGTTGGATGCAACAACTAAGTTCCGGAAACTGTTGTTAAAGGAGAGGAACCCCCCAATTGAGAAAGTCATTGAGTGTGTGGTTGTGCCATAAAAGGAGGCTGACCCAGCAAGAATTCACTCCGAGGCCGGCCGGCCACCCCCCACATACTACAGAGGTGGACAGGCCTGCTGGGCCAGTTGCCCACAGGATGCCAGCCGGGCTCTCCATGCAGACTGTAAAAGGAGGCTGGCCAAGCAAGAATTCACTCCTGAGCCGGCCGGCCACCCCCCACATACTGCAGGGGGGGCAGGCCACTCTATGCAGGCTGCAAAGGGAGGCTGGCCGAGCAAGAATTCATTCCTAGGCCGGCCGGACACCCCCCACATACTACAAAGGTGGGCAGGCCTACTGGACCAGATGCCCACAGGAACACTGGCCGGCCCCTCCTTATAGACTGTAAGGGGGGGCTGGCCTACTCAGCCAGATATGAGAAGCATGCTGGGTGGCCCTCTCCTGCAGACTGCTAAAGCAGGCTGGCCCTGCAAGCAACAATTGATTCTTAGGCCGGCCAGCAGCCCTCCACATACTGCAGAGGCAGGCTGGCCTACTGTGTCAGATACCAGCAGCATGTTGGCCGGCCCCTCTATGCAGCCTGCATGACCAGGCCTATCACCGGCCTACACAGATACTGCAGAGATATCATTGTGTATAATAGGGCACCAGCCTGCAAGGGTTCTGCAACACCGGCCAGGTCTGGTTCTGCATGGGCCGGCCGCTGTCCTGTACACCTGGTTTTGCAGGTCAATGTACATGTCCTATCACTCGGTTCTGCAGTACATATGACTGAAGGGTCTGACAAACAGTAGATCTGAGGTTGAGAAGTGGAAATGCATATGAGGTGGTGAACGATTTTATTTCAATGAGTTCATTGATGGCGAAATGTTTTGTGCATGTGTTATAAGTAATTAAATACAACAACATGTCACTGTACGTACTACGGGTGCACCTGTAGCTGCCTGTAGCGCAGTGGTAGCTCCTGTAGCTACCTGTAGCCATGGTGTTTGCCTTCGTAACTATGTAGCTGCATGTAGCGTGGCTTTAGACTATATAGCACTATATACGTAAATGTAGTGTAAGGTGTGCCTACACAGTGCTACTGTGCCTACATAGTGCTATATAGCTGTCACCCGGGCTACGGCATTTTGAGGTTTTTCCTGATGTCAGCCAATTGTGTAGTGAATGAATCCAACACATCGACTAACGAGGCATGATAGACTGGCACCTGCATTGCAATTGCATTTCCAGACATCGCCATATGAACCTCCGCCAATGTGGTCCCGAGTTGTTCGAGTAATAAAGGGCGTTAACGGTTAGATCATCTGGCAAGTCGTTCTCCATGCTTTCTTAATCAGCGTCGTAAGTGACTAACAGTCAAAGAATGTTCAAGTTCATCAGAGAACTGGTGGACAAATTAGAATGATATAGATAGCGATATATAGTACACAATCACAAGCATCAGCAAAATTCTGCTATCGATTCGTCACATAATCATGTTTGACCTACATAGGAAAGGATAGTTGCTGATTTTCTTAAACAGTCTTGTGATCGGGAGGGGGGCGCTCCCGTTGCTTCACCTCAGACTTAGTGACAAGGTGGAGCAACAGCTAATAATCAATCTAGAGGCATCAACAGCCACCACGTCGAAGTAAGGTTCACAATTGCAAAGCCAAGAGGAAAAGACATGATCTTCTAGTGAACGACGACTGTCCACCAAGTGAGCGAGACTAAATTGATGTCTGGTAAAGCTAATGGTCGAGCCAGATGAATCATAACTGCAATCTCAAGAGGTCACATTCACAACTTCGAAGCTAAGAGTCAAATGCAGCATCCTCCAAAGATTGACGATGTGTTCAATGAGCAAGTAAGAATAAATGTATGTACTGCTTTGCATTTTCACGCCTTCTGCTTGAAATCCTTGATGTCTGTCAATTATAGGATAATCGTCTGAGTAAGAGTCAAATACAGCATCTTCCAAAGATTCGACGATGTGCCCAATGAGTGAGCTGAGAATAAATACATATACCATTTAAAATTTTAATGCTCTATGTTTTAGATATCTAATGATTGTCTGCCATACATCAATTGGGAATCTGTGTGAAAACGCCGTTACCTTGCGCGGCAGCTCTGATCTGTTTGCCAAGTGAGTGAAAGTCAATTCATATCTTGTTTCAAATGTTCAAGAGATTTTACGTAGTATAACTAATGACTATGAGTTGTATTCTAATCTGGGTACTGTTCCAAGAAGTTGTACCCTTGCACCGATGCTGTATCTTTATGGTATGTTCCCTTCACTCAGGACTTGACAGCAGTCAGTCATGGGACACCCTGGTACCACGCTTCTCAATCGACGAGCGAATTGTGTAATGCACCATGCCATCAGGACAGTTGTGTGTCTTTGCGAAGATCCGCGCACTGGAACTTCAACAGTGCTTTTGAGAATATTTGTATTTGTAATGTCTTATGAGCACGGATCTAAAAAAATACAACGACCTGCAATGTCTGCACTCTACCTTGTAGATCCATCCTATTTCAATCACATTGAGGGATCTGCACACCGCAACTTGAAGCATGCTATGGAGATTACCCATATCTGTCACGGCCTTTTGGCTCGGAGATAAAACACCGTACAGATCCAGCCTATGTAAATCAAACTGAGGGATATGCACACTGGAATTTGAACGGCGTTCTAGAGATCATTCGTATTTTATAACAGTCTATTAGCACAAAGATCAAACATACAGAGGTCAAGATTGCTGTCCTCTACTTGCTGGATTCAGCATGTGCACACTGGGACTTAAATCATTCATGGTCATGAAGAGGTCTGTAAGTTCTCACAAAAGGGCATTTCACACCAAGCAAGTACATCAAGTCATAAAATTAATAGCAAAATATAATTCGGATGTAAATAGGACAGTAAGACAGTGATAAATTACTAGGGGGAATCAAAAGCAGCATCATTGCATTGCGCCCTCTGTTTTGCCAGAGTGTTAACAGACATATTGGCCTTTGCTGCGTTGCTAAGGTCTACACAGCAACTCCTTCAGAAAACCTTTCCTAAATGGTGAAGCTGAAGCAAAGGCTGGTAGGTAAAGTAGATAGTATGTAGCGCACCTGGTCCACCATTTGAGGAGTCTGTCAACCCTGCGCTGAGCTTCTCGACTGGGGGGTCTTTCAAAGAAGTCCACAACCGTCCGCCAGAATTGGACGTAGTTGAAGTCTCTGTCGACAGACCGCCAGGAGGTCACTGAGGAAAGCGCAAACCTTACCTGTAACTTCGGTTAGCATCTACTATTAACCTCATTGAACACTAAAACTTACTTGGCAGACAATATATGCGATTGAGGCAAGGAGTGACCTTCTCCATGTGGATGATTTGCGCTACATGCTTTTTGACCTTGAGCCCGCAGGAAGCCTTTTTGGCACGTCTGTTGTTCTGGATGATATCAGTCCCATTGCCATCACCTTCGATATCCTTGGCCGAGGAAGGTGATGTGAAAACCCTTTGTAGCCTTGAAAAAAGGTGGTGAGATCACCGGTGGGCTAATTATGTGCCACAAACCTGAACAAGAATTTTGCCTTTGAAAAAGGCCCTTCCAGGTCGTCCGGATTGACAGTGTACTTCTTGTACAAGAAGGCCGGAAATGAGAGATCCGTTATGATGTAACCATC